AAGCTTTTTTTATAGAGATGTGTCTTAAGAAGAGCGATAAAACAGGTAACCGATTCTGCTCGTCTAATCTCTTCTGGAATATTGTTCTGAAGTGTAGGGGCCCTCACTGCAACGTCTCTATCTCCTTTGGTTTTCAGCCTTGATTTTGGAATGAGTAGCAATGCTTTGCCAGAGGATCTGAGGCAGCGTCCTGGCTCGTAGGGCGATAAAAGGTCCAAAATAAAGGGAGGGCCTACCCCACGTCTGTCTTTAAAAGAAATTAAAGTAATTTTAAAATCAATCTTAAAACAAATAGGCAGCCAGTGCAAGATGCTAAACAGGGCTGATATGGTTTCATTTTGGGGATTGTGTCAAAAGCCAAGCGGCAGCATTCTGGACTTACTGACTTAAAGAGCACTGAAAGCACTTTACTGTACAGTTTAACATTCACCCATTCACGCACACAGACGTTCATACAGTGCATCTACGTGCAGCACTTTTCTCTTTAAGAATGCACAATTTGGGGTTCAGTATCTTGCCCAAGGACACTTTGGCATGCGGAATGGGGAAGACTCTGGGTAGCAGCACCATGGGGTTGTACTTTCTATTGATCACAAGTTAAAGTACAGTTAAAACAAAACAATGGATCAATCGGAGGTTTGAGTCAAATAATAACCCTTCATTTCCAGCAGTCCGTTTGATGTTATTCTCTTTATCAGAAAGATTAGCACCAATAAAGGCTGGTTGTGTGATTTGTGAGGGTGTTAGTGTCTTAGTGTTTTAATGTCATGTATAACTAAGTGTTGACAGCATGAAAAAAATATGTCATGACTTTGAATATCCTGGCCAAGAGGCAAAATATACAATAAACGGGAGGGGCATTAGGACAGAGCCCTGAGGGACACCACATCTTAGCTAAGCAGATGAGTGAGTGGAGTTACACAATGATTGAGAAAGACCTGTTAGAGCCGTAGGAATGCATGCTAAAGTCCTTAATTCCTACCAATGTCTCTGGTGGGAAAGAATGATTGACAATATTGAAGGCAGCTATCTATCTATCTATCTATCTATCTATCTATCTATCTATCTATCTATCTATCTATCTATCTAT